CATCATAAAAAAAGCAAAGCCTTGACTAAATACATATCATAGTAAATTCATAAAGAAAAAAAATAAAAATAATAGCAACTATTCCAAAGTACATTTTGGCCATAGCTCTTTCCATTTTGCAATCTCTTCTTTCTTGTGGAGTTTTCTAATCCCACCATAGAAACCATCCGTTTCGTTGCCGGTTTCTCTATGGTCCTTTCGGCTCACCACAACTTTCCTCCATCTTGAATCCGTGCTGTATTGTTTGAACTCCAAGATCACATTATCTGTAAACACATTATCATCATTACACATAACAATGAAATATAAAAAAGAAAATGAAAACAGCTAGATTATAAGTTGTACGTATTCCTCTACTAGCCATTATAAATCGTCTCGACTATCATTTCAGAAGATATAACTAGAGAACCCCATTTTGTAGAGTAAAAAAAGTAGGATCTTTACCCGTAATGTAATTACACGGAACCTCGAAGATTTATTTGGTAATTGATCAAGTAGAAATAATATTTCAATTTAAGTGACAATAACTATGGTTAGATATTTATAAACCAAGATACATACTTTGAAATGTTGTAATCTAAAAAACACATAACATAAGTATGTATTTTTGTTACATAGGTATGACGGATCGACCCGTCTAACGGTTAGGCTGTCTCACACAAGAAAATAACGCGTTTTGAAACTACACATGCCCCCACTCAAAGTTTGTAAGGGAGAAACAAATTGAGGGGGGGTTTATTTGTAGTTCGAAAAGATCTCGGTTTTTTTTTCTCGTAATTATGTCGAACCTCAGGGTGTTTTTTGTAATTAATCCAAATATATACTAATGAGACCTGGAATATGAAATTTTTTGTTATCCTACCATTGATGTGACACTGGCAATTAAATTGATTGGAAAAGCATGATTCCAGGTGTCCAACAACCCCATACCACCAACCTGTAATGTTCAGAAGAAAGAATTGAAATGATCCATTAATTACATACAGTTGGGATTTCTAATTTTCAGATCTCCACTGGCAATTTTGGTTGTGAGGCCAGCATTTACTGAAATAAATTCTGTATTTGTGTATCATTGTAGAAGTATTTTAGTTTTGTTTCAAAGTCGAACACGACGAAAATCGAACATCCAAACTCGAGTGAACTTGGAGATTTGTAGCAGTCAATTGTCTAATTTTCGATATTTGTATGTAAATTACGCGAAACTGAAAGTAAAGTGCATGAAATTCTAAGACAAATAGTCCGAAATCAAGAATTCAGATATTAGAAAATCACGAAAATGAAGAATAACACATACCATATGGGAATTCCTTGTTTTTTCTCCACTGAATCTCAATGTGGTCACCAGGTTTAAGCTCATCTAAGCACTTGGAAATATAAACAGCATTTGCAGGAGCATTAATAGCCGGTGCTCGTATTTGATTCCATTCGATCCCATCCTCGATTATACTCCTCCCTTGTGCTCTGTACCTGCAATTCCAATTCGAATAAATCGACGTTTAATACCATAACAGGCGAAAAATATTCAACATGCTTAAAAGTTAACACTAGACATATGAAGATGAAACTGTAATAAGTCTCAAATAAGACAACATTTAGCCATACCGAGCAACGAAATTGTCGGTTGTCGAATCATAGCTCAGTCGAGCATCATAACAAGAGAGCACAAATCCCAAATGCCCTTTCTGTACCACCTCAAAAAGGATGAATGATGAACAATAGGTATAAGTTTTTCCAATTTATGGAAATGCATCCCATATATAAAGATTCGATTTTTCTTAAATGGGTAAAAAGAAAATTACCTCCCGGTTAAAAACCTGAGCCGGGAACCAAAATTTTCCGGTCTCAAGAGCCAGATAGAAGGACATGACTGAATTTTCTGGCAAATAGCTTGTTAAACCAATTTTCTCTACTTTTTTACTCTCCGATTTGAACCCGAAAAAGTCGAAAAATCGAGAAAATAGCCGGAGCCCTCTTTGTGCTTTACAATGCAAGAACTTAGGAGCCCTTTTTGAGGCCATTTGGCATTGCCATTCTCTGTAAGCATCATCACCAATAACTCCACCCCATTTTCTTTTCATGTGATTTTCCCATAAATGATCACTTGTGCATTTTTCTCTCAAACAACTGCAAACCCTCACTAAGTTAAACAAATCTACAGGTGAGAGCTTCTCAAGAATGCAGTCCAGGGGCAAATCAGGCAGATCAAGTAAAAAGTTCCCATTTTTCTCTTCCTTAACTTCCTCTGACCTCTCAAAATCAAATCTTGCACTCAAAATTCTCTTTATTGGTGGTACTTGAAATGCCCTGATGGACAATTTTCTCCTTTTGCCCAACAACATAAATAATCTGTGTAATGCTTCATAAAAACTATATGTACTGCACTCAACCTTTGAACTTGAGTATGGGTTGAGAAATGACTTAGAAATCAATAGAAAAGAAAAGCAAGATACCAAGAAGAATAACATTTTTGACTGAAAATTAAAAAAAAAAAAAAAAAAAAAAAAAAAAAACAATTATTTGCTGGTGAAATTGAATTAACAGAGATAATGCTGAAGACCTAAAAAGAGTGACAAATGCAGAACAAGCAGCATTTATGCATGAAAAAATTGAAAGGCAGGAACTTGAGGTAATTTTTCTAACATTATAACTAAATATAAATAACTTTTTATGACCTGAAATTAAAGGCACAAAATAAAGACAATGTTTATAATGATAGAGACTTTGTAGACAACAAAAAAACCCTTTGATAGTTGGGAGTTACAACTTACAACCCCCATAAACAATAAACCCAATTTTCCTTAAAAAAAAATAAAAAAAAAAAATAAAATTGCCCTTAAATGTTGTGGCTCTACATGCATTCAATTGCCACCTTTCTGGGTGAAAGCAGTAATCTTTTGTACTCAAAAAAGAAGTTTATAAACTAAATTAGTTCTGGGTAAAATGCTAGTAACAAGAAATGGTTTATATCTTCTTGAATATGAGGCTAAGGGATTGTGGGCATTGTGGTTTATTTCTTGAGTAAGGCTATGTTTGGTAGACCAATAAGTTAGTTTATAGTTTATTTGAGTAGTTTATAAGCTCTTTGTATTTAAATAAGCCTCGTTTGGTAAGACGAGGTTATTTAAAAAGCTCGAGCTTATTTGATGAGCTTCATCAGGTAGCTTTTCAAATAAGCTAGTTGAATTTTTTATTCCAGCTAGCTTATCAACTAATTTTACCAAACACTTTTATCATATAAGCTAGCTTATCAGCTATAAGTCATAAACTATAAGCTATAAATTAAAAAAATTATTGATAAGCTATAAGCTAACTTATCAGCTAGTTTTACCAAACATAGCCTAAAATGTTATGGGGGTAAGGATAAAAAGTTGCATTTATCAAGAGTAAATAAGCTTTGATGGGTTTTGCAGAGATGAGCTGGCTAGGTGGGTGGGACAGGTCACCTATTAATTGCCATATGGGATATTTGGCAGTCATCTGGTTTTTTGCCAAACTTAGAACCAAAACAAAAAACTACTGTTCAATCAAAATTTTAGATAAACTATGTGGGTAAGAAGTAGAGCTATATATTAAATGACATGACATGACTTGTTCGTGAGTTCGACTCGATTTGACTCATTGGATATATGAGTCGAGTTCAGGCTTGTTTAAAACTCATTTAGTTCACGAACCGACTAATTTGTTCTTAATAGTTTTTTTCAATTTATTGTTGACAAGTAGTTGTTTAGAAACCCAAATTTCTATTTAAGATGATATATTTTTTTCAATATTAATTCCGTGTCTCATTGTATAAGAGCTCTTTTCACTTCATATTAAGCTATGCTTAGCTATCCTTGCAAAGTTGTTCTACTTGCATGAAATGTAGATCTTATTATTGAGAAATGCTACGGTACTATTGAACCATTCCGTCGGAATTTGTAACCGTTAGATAATCATGTAACCGTCAGGGATAGTTGATCTAACGGTTAATAATTCCGACAGGATGGTTCCATAACGGGATCGTAGTATCTTCCCTTATTATTCTCAATTATCTACAAGTAGTATTCAAAATATTTTCAGTCTACTCAGAATTGTCACTAACTATAGTGATGATATCAATACCATAGAAAATGTCATACATATATATATATACTAGCATGCTTCGGCTGTGCCAAGCACAGCCGGCCCAGTAACGTGTCTTTAATTTATTTACCTGTTTAATAACGCAAAAAATAAAGTTATTTGAATTTTTATCCAATTTTATAATAGTTGGAAGTATAGTTGAGTAAATTTGTTTAGTTGTAATAAAAATGTTTGAATTTTATCCTATTTTATAACATTTGAGATAAAGTAATTATGAAGGTTGGTTTGTGATTAAATAACACCTTTATGTTCAAATTGATATACAATTTGATATTCTTTGTTCAAATGTTTGAGTTTTATAAATAGGATGTAATTAAGAGTATGTTACATGTTATAGAAGCATTGTTCATTCAAGTCATGTCATTTAATACTTGCACAAAATACGTTCAGAAGTTATAAAGTTTCAACATATAGTTACAACAAATTGGCAGGTTGTGTGCCAAACAAAATGGAAAGTATTACAAATCTAAAGGCATATTCCACTGCCTTAACAAAATAGTTACAGCAAATTGGCAGGTTGTGTGCCAAACAAAATGGAAGTATTACAAATCTAAAGGCATATTCCACTGCCTTAACAAAACGAGTCATTAACAACCAAAATGAAAGGCTTAACATCCACCAACTGCGTCATTCATTACAAAAGGCAAAAAGGGTCAAACATTATTTCGAACTATTCACCTTGAGACCGGGCTTTTTTGCTGGGATATTTAGTATCATGTTCGACATTGGAGAAAGCCAATGACCGCTTTGTTGAGCCTGATGATGAAGTAACATCGCCTCCAATGTGCTCTGGATTTTCGTTGGCCAATGGAACATGTTTGGCAGCTGTAGTATTCAATATTTCTTCTGCTGCTACCTGTTGTTTTCAAATATATTTTTTTTTTATTTTCGTGTCAATAGTTATCAATTGATGCTCATAAAAATTTAAGGAAGTAAAGTTGTATACCATGTTTTTCCCTTGTGAACATTCTTCTTGTGTTGCATTGATTTCATCTTCTAAATACATCTTCACAATACTATACTTGTCTTTACCATTATCAGAGCCATCTGAGTCAATATAATGTCTGATAAAGCAAGTGACTCGTTTTGAGTTGAAGTTTTCCATGATCTCAGGCATTAAATTATGGCCCTATATGAATATTAATATATATGTTAGAAACTGTTATTGTATAATGATGTTAATTATCGCTTTTAAAAACATGAATTGTACCTGTCCGTTAGCCTCACTCATTTGTGTTGCTGTGAATGGCAATAATTTTTCTGCATCCTCGCCATATATCATTGCATTAAGTATCCCAGTCCCGTCATATACATCAAGAAGAAAACGACACCTGTATGTATTAAATTATGATATATATCATTTGAGGATACTGATATTAATCTAAATTAGACTAACAATTATAATTATAATACAAAACACAATAGATCTTTACCTGGCAATCACCGTTGTTTTTTCTTGGCAGACGGGACATTTTATTTCCCAGTTAACCGGCACTTCTAATTTTTTGTTACACTTTTCACATGCACTATACCATAACGATTTTTGATTCGTTACCAGACTCACATTACCTTGCACCCAAACTGTTTTTATCTGTTGTGTCATAACAATCATGTTATCCAAGCAATTTTTACATTAACTGTATGTGTATTGTCATAATCTTTTATAGGTACTTACGGTTTTTAGAGAAGCCTTGGCTGCTTGGACAGTAGTAATAGCAGTAAATGATGGTGGGGGCAAGAGAATATTACCATCTTTGTATGCACCTTTGTTAAAAAGCGTGGCAACTTCTGTTTTGTGGTTCATATACCTACAATTTGAAAATTATTTCATGTCATATTACTAAAAAAAATAAAAATAAAAAATTGATACCATGTTTTATGTTTACCATTCCTTCAATTCAGATGCAACTTTCATTGGGGGGTTGATCAAAATGCAGCTCGGCATCTTTGTTGACAGTGACAAATCTGTACATTAAATAATATTATAATTTAAATACGTTAGAATCACTAAATATTATAAAAAATTTCAAAATAGAAAATTAGAGTATAAAAGCATACAGTTGAAAGTTGTGACTTTAACTCTAAGAGCCAACACTATGTTTCCTGTTGAGATAGTGGCTGCCAGCTGTGCACCTTCATTGGCTTGAAAATCGTTCCAAAGTGTTAGGAGCATAGGTTTTTTCCTACAAAACAAAGAAGTTAATATATTTTGATTATTTATAATACACATAGAAAGATATATTCATATAATTATACACTAACTCTTCATTAACGATCACAATGTCCCTATTTTTTGAGTCATCGGTTCCCTTGGTTGGAAAAACATGGATAACAACACCCATAACATCTGTAACATGAACGTCAAATAGTTTATGTCATTACTAATTTTACCTTTATACTAAAAAATGTATTATTAATATTTTATTTAAGATTTATTGGATAACTTACTGTGAGGTGACTCTGTATCAGCATACTGAAATAGTTCAGTGAACTTTTCAATAGAAATCTGACAAGGCAGTTGTGGAGGCACTAATTCTTCATAGTCCTCAATTAAAGTACTTTTTCTTAGCGTCCAGCTATATGGATAATCACTGACTTGAAATGCTGGGTCTGCTAGTTTTAAAGGAGCGCCAGATATATAGTATCGCTTGAAGGGAAACAATAATTTAGCAACCCATGAAATATCACTTGAATATGCAACAGCAGATACTTTGGTTCCCTGATTATTCATAAACATGGAGAACTTAGATAAATTTTGATGAAAAAAAGTTGGTGATAGAATTATTTAGTGAACTATAATACTTACATCTGAGTCTGTTAGCAGATATCTTTGAAATTGAACATATTTGGGTGGTTTACTATACTGGGGATGACATTTTTCTACCACTTGAACAATGGCGGTCCAACCAGTGGTATTGTCATCTATCTCCCTTATTTGGAGGAACTTCCTTGACATTTTTATCTATGCATGGTAAAAATATTATGTTGTTAGTAATCATATATGTCAACAAAAAATTCAACAATTTACAAGAATAAATATACATAAGAATAAATATACATAATCAACTAACCATTATTGCTTGAATTTGCTTTTGATGCTTCTAAAACCTCTTTATAAACAATATTTTTGGTGTATTCTGAAGTACTTTTGTCAAAGAATGCTGATTGAATAAGTAACTTAACGTTGGCAGACGAACGTGCACGAGATAATGCGACA